GGTATATTACCCGGGGGGGGGGGGGGGTACTACGATGTGTGCGGCTTGACGAGCACGTGGTTCAATGGCAGGCGAAAGACCAACGACTCCTGCTGCTCAATAGTAGCACCATCGTCTGTGGGTAAACATAGAAACAGTTTCAGGGCGCAAGCACCGAAGCGATCACACAGAGCGCTCACTCCGGTTAGACAAAAGCGGGGCCTATTTAGTCTAAATAGCACGGAACGGGCACGTCTTGGGCAGACAGACGTCCGAGCGTCTTCAAACGTGACGACGTTACAGCTAACCTCGATGATGAGCCTGTAGCCAGCCTCCTTTCCCTGAAGCCTGCAAAACCTGGCGATCTCCTCCAGCTGCTCGCCCAGGTGTTGCCGCACGACAAGCTCTTGGTCCTGCAGGCCGACCATACGACCATACAGGACCAGGAGTATAAGTTAACAGGTAGGATAGGAATAGGGTAGGGTAGGGTAGAGAATACGGCAGCTGATGGAAGGTTGTAGGGGGGAGTGTTGGTTTAATACTTCGTTGTTCTTTGGTTTGTAGGAACCGATATGATCTTGCTTGTGTGGGTTTGGTTTTAGTTTTTGGGTATTTCGTATGTTCCTGGTTTTGGCAGGAGATATGAAGAAGTCGATGACGACAACATCAACGTCAACAACAACCAACAGATCGGCCGCTTCGGGTGTACATGGTACATCAGCACGGGCCCGGAGATACGAAACGTCGATACGAAACGTCGATCTCGTGCCTAGGCTCATTCCCTACTTAGTCACCAACGTGGAGTACAGGTCATGACATGACACTGCACAAGAGTTACGTGAATGATCCTCAGCGGACGATTGCTTCTTACTTCTTAGTTTTATTTTCTTCCGTGGAAATTTGAGCCTTTCAGTGTAGTGTAACGATATTTTTTGGACACTGCGGGCCCGCACTGCTGTACCGAATACAGAAGTAACACACAAGATTACACCCACGGTGATGTCCAACATGTTGTCTTCTACAAAAACCATCACCCTCTGTGTTTCTTGCCTGCAGACCTCTCAGGGTTCTTGTATTATGCAAACATGTTGGATTAAGCATACAATCGGGGAAGTTGCGTTAGGGTTAGGGTAAGGGAAATACGGGTTGCGTCCCCCCTCCCTGTTTTTCCGTATATAACACAAGATAACACACCCCCTTGACCAATTTTCGAAGCTCGATTTCTCAACTGCAGGAACAGTCACAGCGCCGAAAACGGCGGCGTTGAAACCGTCTCGTCGAGAGCTTGTCGAAAATGTATCGTTTCGTTTATGCATCCTCTTCGTCGTGGAGTAATCGAGCTTTGAATATCGGTCCAGGGGGTGTGTTATCTTGTGTCATATCCGGCATTTCCTCATAAACTTACTAACCGCTCGAAGGCGGTCAGTTATTGCCCGTGGTGGTGGTTGTTGTTGTTGGGGGGGGTGTTATCCTACGTCGCCCTGTCCATTGATCCGAGACAAGTTTCGGCCTCGTGTTGTCCTTGAGAATATAGTCATCCGGTATTTGTTGTTCGGGGGCTGTGTCTGTGTGCAATCTCATGTGGGTGGCAGTTTGGCAACGTACTGGTGCACGGCACACTCTCGACAACCCTCGTCTTGCTACGCACGGCACAGAATTAAGGCGACGAGCCTCCCAAATGGCGGTAGCAGGGCAGGGCAATAGACATGGACCGCAGCGTCGTGGAATGTAGCACGTTCATCCTTCTCTGTTCACTTGCATCGAAATGACTAAAAAGAAGAAAAAAGGGAGAAAAGAACACACTCACCTCGGCGAGTGGCCCCAGCAAAGGCACCACCGACTTGACCGTTTGTTCGAAACCGACCGCTGTGGCGGTCTCCGCTAGCATCTGCAGCGACCGGGGGAGGGGGGGGGGAGGGGAGGGAAGGAGACGAACAAGCGAAGAGGCGAGAGAGAGTGGGGGGTCTGCGTGGATGACGATACAAAAAAAAAAAAATGATGCTGGAGCACACAAAAAGAAAACATTAGAGGGGGGGGGGGGGCGAGAGAAGCGAGCGGATGAGCAAGAAAGGTTAACTGACCGAGAGCCCGGTAGGGTCGACAGGCTACCATGCTGACTGACGGTGCAGAATTATAAACGGTTATCCTAAATGTACCGGAAACCCAAGCTTCGAATCCGGCTGAGAGTCGTATTTTCGTTTTCGGGTGCTGACATGACAGACTGTTGGTGGGTTCGTAGATTGCACCATCGTGGTAGCCTCCTGCTTCAGCGCAAAACCATCTCCCACGATGAGCCGAATCTCTTCCCCCTTTGCGAACACGCCGTGGCTCTTGTAGCGGAACCCCCTCCGGACAACCGCACGTCAACTACAGGACAACTGCTGTTCCTAACCCCCCCTGCGCGAAGTTTACACTACAGTTGTCGTGGCTCGGTTTTAGGAGGGTGGCGTGACGAAGGCCATCGACCCTCATATATCGGAGCCCCTTCTCATACCGAAGCCACGCTACTGGTACCATTGGTGGGTTTCGTGCTCAACAAGCCGAGGCCCGCTGCTCCCTCAAAAACCCCGTCTCGCCTCGTGCCTATCACTCCGTGGACTATCCGCATAGTCTACAGCATGCCGATCGCCTCACGGGAGAAGCCGCGGTGAATCTAGAGTAATTCTGGTGCCGCAACGTCACAGCTCCTTTCTTCTCCGGCTGGTCCGCCAAAAGTTCCGAGCAATTTCTTTATCAAACGTGCCACGGTTGTCTGTACGATTCAATCCGGCTCCACAAACCCAAGATGATTCGCTTCGTTCAAACTTGACCTTGCAGTCCGCCTTGTCGAGGTGGGGGGGGGAGGTAATTGTTCCGAAGAAGAATGACCCTGCCTCCAGGCGCATCTTCCAAAAATGCTGGCTATCCAGGCGCACCACACCAAAACGCCGGCAATTTCGCGGCATCGTCGGTAATATGTCGCTTCGAGGGAGTTTCGGGCGTTCAAGTGCTTCACTACTACTCGGAGTACAAAAAAAACAAGCAAACAATCAGTGTCCGCCAACGCTATGATTCAATTCATCTCCAAATGATTCATCCCGGACTCTTGGTTTTGTGGAAGGAGATGACTCTGTTGTGTCCTTGCAATGATGAGCATCGACAAGCACAGTTCTGCCGTCCGTTCGCTTTCCAACTCCACCTTCGACAATTTTTGTGGAGATACCCTTTATCATGGCTACAACCTCTCCCCAAGGTCTGTCTGTTGATAACCCGCGTTTCACACGGAGTACGAACAGTCAACACGGATAAAGTATTGCAAATATAAGTCCTTGACTGAACATGCTACCACTATCGAAACCCTTGTCCGTGATTGAGGGCTCCGACGAAAGGAAGGTGTATCGTTCACGAGGCTGCAACGGCTGCAGGCGTCGCCATAATAACTGCTGCTGCCTTGCCCGTTCCCTCGGAAACAACGAAACAAACTACTACTCTCAACTACACGGTCTTTAGGGCCAGCCTATGAACTCTTCTCCTTCAGACACAGGTGTAGACTCCGGGAATCTGGCACACGGGAGATACGTCTCCCCGACCCCCCCCCAATACCCTACTCTGCGGTGATTGGTGACTAAGGGACGAGATCCACAAGGTCTTGTCCGGTCCTGAGAAGCAACAATAATTTGCTATTACAGTCGCACTCAGCAAGAGGTAGTTATAATTTGGCACCATTTCCAGGCTACTACTACCCACACCGAGGTACGGCAGTGTGCGCGAAAGACCACCGACACCCCATTCACCCCGTTACACCGGTCCTGAATACCGTCGTGAGGGCAAAGCCGGATCCTCCGATTCCCCTACCCACTGCAAACCGCGGTGCCGCCTGTCGTGGCCCTCCACACCAAAACCCGCTCGGTTACTCTCGAGTGGGCAGGCCTTCGTTAACGTTAACGTTAACGTTGTCACCAAAACACACCAGCTAGATACATACATCCGAGGCGACGGCGTTATCATGGACGTGGCTTGGTTCACTGGTTCGTGCTAGTGCGACGAAGGCTCCACAGGTGGGGGAGGGAACACTGCCGTGGACGCAGGACATGAACCAAAGCAACACCAAGGCTTGGGGGCGGGCCCTACTACAAAATCTGTGGTGCCCCCTAGCTGACATCATTAATTGCCGAGCTTGATGTCAATAACGCTACCCTGAACACAGCAGGGCTCGTTGCTACCTAACACTCGGTGCTGACGCATGCCTCAGCTTCTGTTTGTGCGCCTCGTTTGCGGCCCAAACGTGGCAGTAAGATCCTGCCCCGCTCGACGCGCGCGACGTCACGTATGCATACGTACGTCCATTTGCGTTTGTGTTGGAGATATAAACAAAGCCGTCTGCCCTTCAGGTGGACCTAATAACACATCGGTGTGATGCGGGCTAGAATACCTGAAGGCTGTGCATACCGTTGTACAAACAGCAGATATTGAACACACGGGTTTTGGTATAGAGGAAGACATTGCTGTAATGCTACTGTAGACCGGTCCTGGGGGCGAAGACAAAACCCGTCGCTACAGCAGTATGGTAAGGATTTCCATCATGTGTGCAGAGAGATATTTCCCTCCCTTAACACGGAGCGGGGGGGCAGGCGTAGACCAAACTGCAGAGGAAAAACGCGGCGTGAAACTTTGCCACGGTTCTGCTGAGAAACCAGATTCTAACGGTCTGCAGCAAGGACAGACCAGAGAGCGTGTTGGACATTTGTTTGATGCTGCTGGTGTGCTGCTGCTGCTGATGAAGCTGCCTTGAGCCGCAGCGTGTTCCATTTACTGCCCAAACCTCAACAAAATCTGGATGCATCTCCTACACGAGGTAAGCGTGGAGCGACCCACTGCTGTAACAGCATGCTCGGAGGTGAGCAGCAGGTAGGTCCGGACACAAGCCGGTGTCCGCGATGATGATTTTCACCCTCGCTCTGCAGGCTGATGTGATGTTAAAGGCGAAAATACGCTGTACTACAACACCTGCACAATTCAACTCAAAACTCCTGGGCTTTGTTCCGGAGAGAAATTCTGCTAGACTGATGGATCCCAGGCCGCCACGACGTAACCACGCCCCGTCTCCCTCGCTCCTAACAAGAAGCAGGGTGCCGGGAGACGCAAACCTTTTATCTGGCTCTTGCTCACCTTGACGTGAACAAGCCGCTGCAGCGCGATGGAGCTGCTGCTGTACCTTACGAGTCTCTGCAGTTGGGTGAGCTCATCGTCAATGGAGAGGTCCTCAAACGTTGGCCCGCCTTGCAAGTCCATGGTTCGCCCTCACCTCTTCCCCCCGACGCTTCGAAGATAAGCGAGCTAGGGGAGAGGGCTTTGCCTGTGGTGTCGCCCCTGCCTCAGTCACTGCTGTTGTCCCTGTGCCTGCTCCCACTTGACCTCCAGGGCGGGGGAGACGCGCACGATGCGAAGAGAATGCATTAGTACCTGTACATAACGGTTAATCATTTCACGAAGCCCCCGGGCAATTACAAACAATTGTACCGAAAAGTTGTGTTGTGGTGCATCATCAGTAAAGGGCCGAGGCAGACAGACAGACAGACAGACAGACAGGCAGAGATATACTGCGTTAGAGTGCGACAACTTCTCCCACCAACAGCTCTGGGTATCGGCGAAGAGGTGGGCGTTGGTGAGGAAGCGGGAAAAGAAATGCTTGCGTGCGCGCAGAATATCGCCGCCGCCGGCGGGGAAACTCGGCCTCCGCACCCAAAGACCCCGCATGATGATGGTGAGGCCCACAGCCATCATGCCAGAAAGTTCACCAAGAGGCTTCGGGGGTCGTGTGACTTCTGTACTCGGCGGAAACGGAAGTGCGACGGTGATCCTTCCCTGGTGCAGACTCGGTATGGGGCTGACCGCTGCAGGTGAAGGGCGGCGGCATCGTCTTTATTTGAACCAATACTTTTTTACCACGTTTGTGCTCTCAAGGAAGTGAAGTTGCTTGCACCACAGGTGTGCCGTCGAAAGAGCGGCGGATTCTGTGACGGGAACAACATGAGTGCCCCTATCGAGCGCAGGGGATAGAGGCTGCTCGTGAGGGATCATTGACTGCCTACCATATCTTGTGTGTGTGTGATCACAAGATCTATGCCTAATGAACATGTGTGACCTGGACCCTTCTGTGGAACAGTCCTGTGACTGCTGTCTCTTCCCCATGGCGGATCATCTGCGGCACTCTATTTTCGAGATACAGTTCGCCATGCGTCCAAGCAAGTGTCGTATTGTACAAAGAGACATGTTGTACGACGAAGTATCAGGAGACGGAGAGCTCAGGATTTCGTGTGCCAGAGTTTGAAGAAGTGTACCACAAGGGGAATGGTGCTGTGGCCTAGAGAGCTTGTGCAGGTGCGAAACGAGAGGGATGTGTGTCGTTGTTTCTGGTCTACAGAATAAACGGATGAGAAGAGAAGACCGGCATGCATGCATGTTTAACATTCGTTCACACAGGTGCTTTGTGACCGGGCTTGCTTTTGTGTGTCACGTTGTCACACACGAAAGCATGGCAACGAACGGAACATAGGCCTTCACACCGGTTTCGCAGGGAAGACAACTACACGACAACTCCAAGTACGTGTAGTATGCATAACGTACAAAACCACCCTCCAAGCGTGCGCGGATTGTGGGCAGCACACAAGTCAAAGGGCATTTTAACGGGGCTATGAGAGTTGACACGCGATTTGCTGGCAGCGCACAGCGCATGTGCATGCAGCCTTGTTGCGCTCTGTGTCTCTCTCACACCTCTCCCCTCTCACAGTTGGATCTTGATGCCCTTTCGACTCTCAAAAGCCTCCTCTGAACATGATGACCACATCACGTGCACGCATTGCGAGTGGTGTGAAGAACAACATAGTGCAACTTGTTATTTTCGTTGTATTTTTGAAAATAAAATGTAGTCGAATTTGATCTTGCGTCTACGCATCTCGTTCGTGCAAAGGCACCGAAAGGATGCGGAAGATTGCGCCCCCCCCTCATAGACCGATTATCAAAGCTCGATTGCTCTACAAGCAAGCTTGGCGCAAACACCAAGATTGATGGTTTTGGAAACGTCTCGCCAAGGGCTTTCCGATGACGCGTCGGGCTCTTGTCCGCATCCGCTTCTTTTTGGCGCAATCAGACTTTGAAAATCGGTCTACAGGGGTGGCGAAATATCTCGCGTTCTTACGGTAGTCTCGCGATGGGCTTCACACACGGTGTTGCATACATGGGCCGTGTGTGATTCTGCTGATCCCTGTGCAGCATGCGGCGGTTCCGCTCTGTGGGTGTCAGGCGTGACAAGACACCTTGTGGTGGCGATCTGATTGCTGTGGGTCGACGTGGGAGGGGCAGAAGATGAGGGCGTGACGTACACTTCATGTTGGAATAGGCCACATGCGCGATGTGTTTCGGCCGCATTTGCGAGCGGTGTCCCCTATGAAGAATGGGTAAAAATGTGGATGTTGGTTGTGTGTTGCTAGATACCACTGACAGGGTAGGTAGGTCTAGTTTGCTGCCTTTGTGATGTGCACGGCGTGAGCTTGGGGCGAATGTCTCTTTCTCTCTCGGCTGCTTCCGCGTGGTGGGAAAAGCAGCCCGGAGCGAAAAGGCATAACGTGGCGGTGGGCGTGTGCGTGTATGTGCGGTTCTTGTTGCCAGCGATGCAAGCAACACCACTCCACTCACTCCCTGGATAACCCTCCTTCCCCTCAGCACACTGCACACCCCGTTCTGTTGGGGTGCCATGTGATCTGCGTTATGAAGTGCCCACGAGACATGCGATGCATTGGCCTATTTTTCTTTGCAACGACTCTCTCTGTCTCTCTCGCGCGCTTGCGAGAATCATCGCCCCCGGCCAAGACAGCGGTTGGAAGTGCTTGGGCTTGGAAGCTCGGTCATGGGTGGCAACGGCAGTAGCCACTACCGTAGGTTGCATTGCGTGAAATCCCACGCCCCCTGGACCGATTTACGAAGCCCGATTCGCTGCAGCAAAAGAGCGGCGATGGGACCGAAAACAGTGTCTTTAGAACCTCTTCGTCTAGGGCAATCCCAAGTGTTTGATTTTGGCGTTTATGTTAGTCGTGGAGCAATTAATCGCGCTGTAACAATCGGTCGAGGGGTTGTGGTACCTTGTGCAAGCTGCATACGGAACGCGTTCCGAACGCGTTGCCCAGGTTTTTTTGTGACGGAGGCGTGTGTGCAGCACGTTCCACGCGCGGCGACGGGGACTTCTGAAGGACGCGCTCGACCGCATCGCTGTTATCGACGCTCGAGAAATCCGACACGTCTCTCCTGCTCCCCTAGAATGTGCAACACACTCACGCTTCTGCACTCTGCACACACACCTCCCGTGTTCTTCGAGTTACCGATAGTCCATGCTCCTCTGGCGCCTTGTCACGTCCGTAACGCGCGCTACCGTAAGCGTCGGAGAGATGTCACCCCCGTGTTGGCGTTTTCGTTTAGCCTATTTCTCCACAAGTAGGAGGGTGCGAACACCAACCGATGCCGCTCAAGAAAGCCCTCGACGAGATGTTTCCAAAACTACCCTTGTCGCCACTGGTACATACCCCCCTGGTTGTTGTCAAATACGCTACAAAAAAACGCTACCACGGGGGTGCCATATCTCCGACCACATACCAAACTGCCGGCCTCTCATCCATCCACCCCTGCGTTACACTGCTGTTGGTCCACCAACACGACTGCCGGCCTTGCATGCATCCGCCCCCCCCCCCCCCCCCCCCCCCCCCCCCCCCCCCCCCCCCCCCCCC